TTGGACTCCGAAGGACCTGTCCTTCTCCCAGCATGGAGGAATTTGCCAGGAGTCGGGGGGCCAGTCCTGGGGAACCCCCACCAGCCAGCACCAGGAGTTCCTCCTCCCGAGACAGGTTCAGCGTCTGCACCTAAAGAAGCCAGACCCAGACCCGCCAGGGAAGTCAGCTGGGGTGTGTGACCCCCTAAGCTCCCACGCCCCTTGCCTTCCTTTTCCCTGTATGTAGCAGACCAAGAACCACGGTAACGTTGGCCAAGTTGTAGAACTTTAGGAGAGTCTGTGAGATCCTCAGAAAATAGGTCCATCTGAGTCAGAAAACAAGTTCTCTGGCTCCTAGGCCCAACCCGTGCACACCCCTGGGCCCGGAGGGAAGGGCTGGGAGGTTTCACAATCATATGCTTAAGTCCAGTTACCTGGATCTCAATGCCGTAGCCAGGGTAGACATGGATGCTGTATGTGCAGTCCAGGAGCCCCAAGGTTCGGCTGGCCGCGCTCCCTAAACCTGGAGACTCCACATGACCTTCACCTTCGGAGATGTTGTTATTACACAGAACTAAAGAGATATAAGTGCTGGGGTTGAGAGAATCTCTGTGTTCTTGCCCTCCCAGCCAAGTAACCCTGGGGGTCCTCATCTGTCTTCTCCCCAGCACCCCTCACCATCTTTATCCAATGCTCACTCTCCCATCTGTGCCTAGAACTCCCTTCCTCAACTGTCGTAAGACATAAGACACATAGAACAGTGCTGGCACATAGTAAGGGTGTATCAACGCTAGCCTTTATTATAATTAAGCAGAAGGCCCTCTCCCATCTAGACCCCTTCTTCTTCCACACGTTCCCGGCAGCCTCTCCCCCATCCACACCTTCCTCTTCTCCCACATCCCCTTTCAATCGCCTCACCTGGGCTGGTCACCGTCGTGGTGACAGTTGTCGTGGTGATGATGGTGGTCGTGGTCTCCTCCTCTCCTCCCTCAGGCCCGAGGGGCGGGCCTGGGGAGGCGGGACCGGGAAGGGGCGGGGCCGTAGTTCCTGGGGGCGGGGTCAGCAGCTCCGGCGCGGTGGGGCCTGCCCCCCTGCCCTCCTTAGGGGTTATGGCTGTTGTCAGAGGCCCTGTGCCCGGCTCAGTGGCCCGTGGCAGGGAGGGTGCTGCAAGAGTCTGGCCGGCTGGAGGGGTGGCTAGTGTGGGGTCTGGATCAGATCCTGGGACAGTGCGAGGGAAGTCAGGAAACAGGAGGAGCACATTGATGGGCCTCGGTCGGGGATCAGGGCTAAGAGACACTGCGAGTTCCCCACTGAACCCAAAAGACCTCCCCCACGAGGCGCAGGACCCCCACCTCTCCCTTCCCCACCCAAACTTCCCCCCTCCTCCCAAGGCTTCCACAGCCTGCCCCCCAGCCCCTTCTTTTCTTCTCTCTGTCCAGGCCCTTCCACCCTGACAGTCTCCTTGAGCTTCTCTCTCTGTCTCCCCATTCAGATCTGGCTCTCTCTCCCGGTTACCCCTTTCTCTTTCCTCTTTTTATTTTGCACTCTCTAGAACTCTCGGTCTATGTTTAGTACTCTTACCCCTCTCTGATTTTATGACTCTAGGTCTACTACTCTCTGCATTTCTCTCTCTTTCTGTGTCTCTTTTCCACTCTATCTCTGATTCTGGCTCTCTGAGTTTCCATCTGTCTTTCTATCTGTCTGTTTTTCTGTGCTGTTTCTTGATCATTCTACCTCAATTTCTCTGGCTCTCTGACTGTCTATGTCCAGTTTTGACTCTCTCGAACCATCTCTCTCTGTCTCTCTGAATTTCACTGGCCTGGCTCCCCATCTCCCTGAATTAATGTCCCTCCCTCTGCCTCTATGTTGCTCCTGCCACTCTGGGGGCCTCACCCGGCAGGTAGCCCATTTCTGGGCCTCTCCTCAGCAGGGCTCCATGGAGCAGCTCTGCCAAGGCCTCAGAGGCTACGGTGGGGGTCTCATTTCCAGGCTCCGGCAGTGCCTCCTCCTCCTTCAGGGGCAGACCTGGGAGATGAAGTTGTGCGAGCTCTTCCACTGCCCCACACTCCTTCCTTCTCCAGAAAGATCTTTTCCAGAGCTCTTATTCTCTCCTCAGTCAGCTGGGCCAGCAGGAGCTCAGAGGGTCCCAGACTGGGCTGAGAGCCAAGATTGGAGGAGGGGCTCCCAGCTGCCCATCACACTGCTACCCCTTCGTCTCTCCCTTTTCCCCCAGGCTGTGTGGGCCTTCGGTGAGCACCTCGGACAGAGCCAGCAGGGCAGAGAAGAGGCAGGGCGCTACCTTCATTTTCCCCTCAGTGATGCTCTCCCCCCAACCCCGGGCCTCTGCGGAGGGTCTGGCAGCACCTCCCAGCCCTTGCTTCTGCAGTGTCCAGCTTTTTCTCTGGGTTTCTGTCTCTGCAGTGTGGTCCTCCCTCTCTTTCTCTGCAGTCTCTGCCCCCTTCCCTGGAGTCTCGCTGGGGGGTCAGAGTTGGGGATTGAATATCTAGCCTCTGCGCACTGCCTCTGTTCATCTGTCTTTGTCCATACGTCCAAGAACATTCGTGTGTGCTGCGCCTGGCATCTCTCCCGCCACCTCCATCTCCCACCCTGGTACCCGGCCTGCTTCTGCCGCCTCCGCAGACATCCCCCCCACCCCGCCCCGCCACAACGTCCCCAGCCCTTCTTCCTGGATTTAACCCCTGAGACGCTGCTAAAAGCTCCCCTCATTAATTTCCCCAACTCCTCAATATATGGGGCTAGGGGCTCCAGGTGCAAGCTGGAAAGCCCTGGCTTGCCCCTTCTCCGTCAGCTGTGCCCCTCCCCTCCCCCAGGAGCTCAGAAGGCGCAGGATGTTCGGAGAAAGGAAGGTATAGGACCCAGCTGGGGGCCTTCCCGGGGGCCCACCCCCACGCACGCAAGTCCTTACCCTGAATCCAGGGACAGCTCAGCAGAATTAGGAACAGCAGCTGGGGAGGTGGCGGATGCTGGGCCCTGGGAGCCCCCATGGCGACTCACACCAATTTCTCTCCTCTGCGCCTCTCCTAAATAATCTAGCTGTCACCTTTCCTCCGTCTTCTTTTATCTTTCCTATTAATTTTTTTTTCCTACTGGCAGTTAGCAAGGGAGACAATGTCTCTGCCTTTGGGACGGAGGGGCAGAACTGGGCTGGGGGTCTCCTGGAGCCCACCCCTCTTTGGCCGGTCTCCTCTGTCCTCAGCTCTCCTGTCTGCGGGAGAGGGGGCGCGGCTCCGGCTGCAGCGGGTGGGGCCAAGAAGGGCGAAGGAGCTGGGTCGCCTGGGTTACCCTCTGGCTCAGGCACCTGGGTCCGCCAGGCTGGCTGGATTCTAAGCCGGGGGAGTGGGTCGAGGCAAAACAGCTTCCGGGGACCTAGGGTGTGGTCGAGGATAGGGAGGGTCCCTACTGTGCTCTAGTGGGGCTTGGAGGGGAGAGGAGGGGGTTGCAGAACCTGGAGAGCCGAGGCTCGGGCACTGGAGCTGCGGGAGGGAGAGCTGAGAAAGGTGTCGAGCCCACGTCAGATCCTGGGGACGGGCGAAGGGAGGGGCTTGGGATTTATTTGGGGGCTGTGGGGGGAGGGAGGAGGAGGAAGTGCAGATGGAAGAAGGAGGGACCACATGAGCCAGGGTCTTAATCCTCACTCCCACGGCCCCTAGGGAAAGTGAAGACAACTCTGGTCCCAGCAGTAATTATGACCCCTCCCCCAACCATTCCAGCACATTTGGAAACTGAATGTTCTCTTCCCAGGGTGTTAAGGGGCAGCATAGCTGGGTTTGCGCTTGCTCAGCGCCCCCAATATGCCCCCGGCCCTCTTCCAGACCATTTCAGAGAAGCTCATGTAGAATGCGCTACCTCCCCCTCCAGAAGAATGACAAGTTCCTACGTTTGTGAGAAGTCTAAGGGGTGACAGGCCAGGATCTGGGGAGGGGAGAGCCCTCCTCTTACGTACAACAGGACCCCAGCCAGCTGCCTGGCGGCTTCAACTTTAATTTTTTTCTCCTGGTCTCATCTCGCAAGACCGCTGGAGAGCCCTTTTCAGCACCACGAGAAAGGACAGCTCTTCTCGGCCCCGCCTGAGATGGCCCGGCCCGCGGCGCTGCAGGCGATTGGCTGAAGCCGCCTTCATTATCAATCGGGCTCCCGCCGGGGGTTGGCTCTTGTGAAGGCGAATGGGGGAGGTGGAGTCACAGGCCGACTGGTCGAAGGATCGGCTGACCCACGGACCGGCCGCAGCGTCCCTGTCCGCAGTCTGCGAGCGCCGGTCTTGTCCATCAGTTCGCGCGCTCGCCACGCCCCTTACTTGCCACGCCCCTCTCAGGCCCCGCCCTTTCGTTTCGCATTGCGGGGCGCTGGAGGTTGGCGCTGTGCCCCCTGAGCCCCACGTGGCGCCCCGTCGGGGCCGGGGGAGGCAAATCCGGAGACGACACCCCCGACCCGGCTGAGTTGCGGTGGCCACTGGGCGAGGGCGGGGGTAGCTAAGCTGAGAGGACTGTGGGGAGGGTGACGTCAGGGTGAGTGGGGGACAAGGAAGGAGCGAGTGGGGGAGGGGGGAGAGAGAGCGAGAGAACCCGTGGGTCGGGTCGAGAGAGAAGCGAGGGCAGGAAGGAGAGAGGGGGAGGAAGGAGAGAGAAATCGCTGCAGAGGACTGCTGGTTGCGGTTCCCAGGGCTGCGGGTCCAGGTGGGGTAGGAACTGCTGTCCGGGGAAGCTAGAAGGAGAGGCAGAGCGGGGAGGGAAAGAGAGAGCGAAAAGAGGGGCGGGGGTGGGGGGAGCGGTGGTGGAGGGAGGAGAGAAGAAAGGAGACGGGGAGACAGAGGGTGGGGAAAGGAGAGACTGACGGGAGAGGCAGGAAACTGGAGAGAGAGGAAACTGCCCTAAGGAGAAAGAAGAGGAGGAAAGAGGTGAAAGAGGAGGAGGAGAGAGTTGGAAGGAGAAAGAAGTAGAGGAGAGAGGAGAGAGAGGCAGAAGGAGAGGAAGGAAAGGAGAGTTAGAGGTGCATGAAGGAAGCGAGAAAGCAGGAGGTACAAGGTGGAGAGAGGACCTCGGAAGGAGATGGAACCAAGAGTAGGAATGTGGAAGGGAAACAGCCCAGGGTGTAACCAGGGAGCAGCCATGGAAGGAACCGGTGGAGAACTGGGGGGACAAGGGAACTGGGGTCTGGAAGATGCCCCAGGCCTCTTGGCCAGGGCCTCCCTGCCCATCATGCCTGCATGGCCATTGCCTCTGGCCTCATCTGCCCTTACCCTGCTCCTTGGAGCTCTCACTTCCCTCTTCCTCTGGTACTGCTACCGCCTGGGCTCCCAAGATATGCAGGCCCTAGGGGCTGGGAGTCGGGCTGGGGCTGTCAGTGGTAGGCCTGGAGGGTGCTCTGAGGCTGGCAGACCAAGCCCACGGAGCTCTGGGGAGTCTGTGGAAGGACCTAGGACAGAAGGCCTAGTGAGCCGTCGCCTTCGGGCCTACGCCAGGCGCTACTCTTGGGCAGGGATGGGTAGGGTGAGGCGGGCGGCTCAGGGTAGCCCAGGCCCTGGGGGAGGGCCAGGGGTCCTGGGCATTCAGCGCCCAGGCCTGCTTTTCCTGCCAGACCTGCCCTCAGCCCCCTTCGTGCCACGGGATGCCCAGCGGCATGATGTGGAGCTCCTGGAGAGCAGCTTCCCTGCCATTTTGAGGGACTTTGGGGCTGTGAGCTGGGACTTCTCAGGGACTACCCCTCTGCCTCGGGGCTGGTCCCCACCGCTGGCCCCTGGGTGCTACCAGCTCCTGCTATACCAAGCAGGCCGGTGCCAACCCAGCAACTGCCGCCGGTGCCCGGGGGCCTATCGGGCACTGAGGGGGCTGCGAAGCTTTATGAGTGCCAACACCTTCGGCAATGCTGGCTTTTCCGTCCTCCTGCCTGGGGCCCGGCTCGAGGGCCGCTGTGGGCCCACCAATGCCCGAGTCAGATGCCACCTGGGTAAGTGGATGCTACTTACAGACAGCTTCCTCGCCTCCACGATTCCCCCTCCAGACTCTCTTCTCTGCCATCATAGCTTTCTACACTGTGACTCTGATCATGCCTTTCTTCTCGGAAATCTTCCTTGACTCCCTGTCTCCCACAGCAGCATTTCCTGAGCTTCAATGATCTGCAAACCATCTTCATAAGCTTTTCCATAGTCATTTACCACCTGTACTGTTTCTTCATATTGACTCCCCCCAATGTTTTGTTTTACTTATTTAAAAGGAATCTTTATAGAAAAATGATAATCAGTATTACTTGACCTAAATAGGGATTATTCATAAAAATAAGTTTAAACTTAAAAAAAGAAAGCTTTAAAAATTCTAGCGAAGTATCCTAGTCTGTGGCTGAAGCCTACACTCTCCTCCTTTAAAAAGGAGCAATGTCGGGAATTGCCTGGTGGTCCAGTGGTTAGGACTCTGTGCTTTCACTGCTGAGGGCCTGGGTTCGATCCCTGGTCCGGGAAATAAGATCCCACAAGACGCAGGACGCGGCCTCAGAGGAAAAATAAACATAAAAAGGGCAATGTTAGGAGGGATGTTAAAGTTATGGTAGCACCAAACTGCGATTTTCTTTTCAATGTTTTAGAGATTGAAAGAAAATGGGGAGAAAAAAAGACTTGTCTTCTGATTGTTGTTTAATGCCATGACTTTGTTTTGCCTATAATCATCTCCTGTGCTACCAGTTGAATGTGTTCTACACTTCAAACACACTGGCTTTGAAGAGATCTGGAGCAAGGCCAGATCTTTTCTCCTTATCTCCTACCTGTTCCCTTCTTCCCCTTCTCTCCCACCATGCCCTAAATCATGAACGCCTTCTGGCTGATCCTGGCAGATGCCACACACATGCTCTTAACCTAGAATGTCTTTCCCCCTTATCACCTCCTGGAAAACTCCTACGTAGCCTTCACGACTCACACTTTCAAATGCCCACCTCCTCTGGAATGTCTTCCTCTTCCCCATCGTTTAAGTTGGCTCCTCAGTTTCCTGCACCCCAGTGTGTGGTCCTTGGCAGGATGGAGCCATGTTTTATACCTTTTGGGGAGAGAGGGCCTAACACACAGTAGGTTCTTGAGTTAAACTGTCAGAAGCCCAAGAGGAGATGCTGCTTCTTTTAGGAAGCTTTCCCTCTTCTCTGAAACAGACTACATTGTGCTTTGCACTGCATTTTCTGTCTCCTAGCATTTCTTTCATCCAGTACTGTATTGTAATTTTACGTGGGTCACCTTCCAGAGAACGGAGAGGGACCACCACAGAACCTAGCATTTAAGACTCTCGGATCTGCTTTTTGACTGAATGGGGTGGGCCCCTTCGTTGGAGGCAGGAATGTTGGAGGCCCGGATCTCTTTCTACAGGCCTGAAGATCCCCCCTGGCTGTGAGCTGGTGGTCGGGGGTGAGCCCCAGTGCTGGGCTGAGGGACACTGTCTACTGGTGGACGACTCCTTCCTGCATACAGTGGCTCATAATGGTAATGGGGCTCCCATTCTGCTAGGAGGGATGAGTGACTAAAGAGTTAAGGGGAATAGACTAGAGGCTGCACAATCGGGCCCAACTGGCTTCCTGTCCTACACCACCATTTTCTAATTGCATGCCCTTGAACAAGTCACATGATTTCTCCAATCACCCGTGAAATAGGGCAACCGCCTTCTTTTACCAAGTGACTGCAAGGATTAAATAAGTTAATGTAAGCGCACAGCAAAGTGGTTCACAGCACGAGACCCTGGGCCTGGACCACCCGGGTTCCTGTCCTACCTCTGGCATTAGCAGTGTGACCTTGGGCAAGTTATTTAACCTCTCTGTGCCTCAGTTACTCTGCATAAAATGAGAACATTTATGGAGCTGCCTCACCGTTTGTTCTGATGATTAAGAGCTAATACACATAAAGGATTAGAACGCTGTCTGGCACTTATTTACAAAGTGTCTGCGTTTGAGTATTTGGTGAGTGCTCTGGCATGTAAGTACTTAATGTCAGCTGCTCTGCTGTCTCCATCCCCACGTGCCCTAGGCTCTCCTGAAGATGGGCCTCGAGTGGTCTTCATCGTGGACCTTTGGCATCCCAATGTGGCTGGGGCCGAACGCCAGGCCCTCGACTTTGTCTTCGCACCAGACCCTTGAAGGAAGGTGTTCCCTTCAGACATCTGGGCTGGAGAGATGCTGCGCTCGGGGATGGCCTGAGTGGTAGCCAGGACCACCTCTCCATTGCAGGGGGTGGGGTGGGGCTGAGGGTGGGAACTGGCCAGTGAACACCGAAATATAGATTTTAAAATCCTCTCCTAACTCCTGACTACTTTCTTCCCAGCTACCAGCCCAGGGAAAGGCTGGGGGCAGGGGTCTGTGTCTTCTCCCATCCAACTAGCCAGGTACCTCCCTAACAAGCCATATACCTGGCCCTTTCTCTGGAAGCCAGCACCAGACCCTCAACTCAACTTTATTCCAATAATTTAATAGAAAATTATAGTAATAAATAATATGAAAAAAATTGAGAAGATGCTGACCTGGTACAGGCCCAGGCCCACCTAGTACAAAGTTAAGGAGGTAGGGAGGATGTTGGGGAAGCAGGAGGGAGGCAAACTGCCCTGCACAATGGTGAGGAGGCGGCTCAGAATGTGGTGGGTGTTATTAAGGGCTGGCTTGACACTTTGGTGTGTACAATGTCCTAAAAAAAGACAAAGGGAATTCTAAATCCTTCTAAACCAGCTGGTGAGGGAAGAGGGCAGGACAAGGATGGGGAGGAGGCAACCAATGTAGGCCTTCTGAAGGCCTCTGAGGGGAGGGGCTGGAATGTACTCTGTGGTTAGCAATGAGGTGGGAATGGATGGAAAAGGGCCAAAGTGAACTGTACCATGCAATGAAGGGATGGAAGAAGGACCCACGACTTGGCCAGCAAAGCCGGGGCAAAGGTCTGGGAAGGGGAGGAAGAGAGAGAGGGACTGGGTCCCAGCGGCCAGAGGAAGACTCGGGGCAAAGCTCAGTCCTTGAAGACAATCTGTTGGCCGTGAGGACGCTCGTCGTGGGTGATGTGGCGCCGGACATGGATTCTGCGGACACGATGCTCTCGGTTCTCCTCGTCCTCCCCTCGGCCTGCCCCGCCACCTCCAGCTGCACCTCCTGTGGCCTCCAGAAGGGCTGGGTCTGGGCCTCGGGGAGTCTCGTAGATCAGGATGTTCAGGGTCTCCTCAAAGATCCGGGCCTCTGGGAATTCCACCTGCAAAAGGCCAGCAACCCCCAGCTCCCTCCCTCTGACTCGACTCCTACGCAGCCATCCCCTCCCCCAGGCTGCTCCTGCACTGTCTCTCCACTCCTATAGCCTCTGCAGTCACAGGTTCCTTTAGCCTGGACTGTCCTCTTTGCAACTTCTTTGCTCAGCTAAGTCACACTTATACTTCAAGGTCCAGCTCTGAAGTCAGGCAGAGAGTTATTTGTTTTCTGTCCTTTGTTGCCAAGTCTCTTGGTACATCTTTTTTTTTTTTTTTCTTGGTATATCTTTTCATTTGACAAATATTTACTGAGTGACTGCACTGTACCAGGTGTTGTTCTGGGCACTGGGAATATAGCAGTGAACAAAACAGGCAAAGTTCCTGTCCGCAGGAAGTTTACATTCTAGGGCGAGGACCCAGACATATATGTAATAAGATATGAAGTGTCAGATGACGATAAATGTTACGGAAAAATTATAGCAGGAAAAGGGTGTGGAGATGGCCACCGCCAGGAATGTTACAACTTTAAAGAGGGAGCTCAGAGAAGGCCTCACTGAGAAGGTGACATCTGACCAATAGCCAAAGGAAAGGAGGGAAGGAACCAGATGGAGAACTAGAGAAAGATCAGTCTGGGAAGGGAACAGCTCTGGGGTCAGGAACTCGCTTAGTGTATCTGAAGATCAGTGCAAGGCCAAAGCAACAAGGCAGAGTGAAGGAGAGTAGTACGGGATGAAGAGGCGGTTAGGGGTTCCCCTTGTGTGGCTTGGAGGGATATAAACAAAAAAACTTTAACAAGCTGCATTCTCATTACTGGTTTATCTTCCTGTCTTCCCAATTACAGAGGATGCTACTTGGAAACTGGATTATTCACTCATTCATGCATTCAATAAATGTTTCCTAGCTTCTGCGGCGTGATAAAGGCCTGGCTAATGCTACAGAGATGGGGGGGGGGGGAAAGATTCAGCTCTACTCTCAAGAAGCTAACTCCTTGCTGCTGAAGTAAACACTCCTACTCCCCCATCCCCAGCAGACTACAATCAACATTGTGTTTGGCTGACAGGGGGGTATGACCAACTTTGTCTGGGGTTGTTGGGCTGAAAGTTCATGAGTGGTGACCCAAAGAAAGTGATGCTTGGCTTAGGTCTTAAAGATTAAGCACAAGTCCATTAGGCAGACAGGAATGAGGAAAAGTAATTCCAAGAAGAGGGAATAGTGTGTGCAAAGGTAGGGGGGTGTGAAATAGCACGGGGTGCTTAAGAGACTTTCAAGATCTCCAGTGTATCTGAGGCACATCCTTCATGTCAAGGTCAGAAGGGACCAGGCTGATAAGATCTTCAGGGGCCAGACGTCATGACAGAGGGCTTGTACTTTACTCAGCATCTTATTCGCCTTGATTTCAAGCCTCTTGCAGTGCTCAGGACGTATCTGCTGCTGATTGCCATGTTAATGACTCAGGGCCTACAACCCCAGTGTGTTCTAAGCACCTGAAGTTTTAAGAACCTACTCTGGGTCATGGATCCTTCTGAAATTCTAATGACAACTATGGTCCTTCTATATAGAAGAATGCATACCCACTCCCAAAACTGCACACTCTTTCAAGATAGCCTTGAAACCCAACTGGCCTAGATTAAGAATCCCACTCTAATCCAACACCCTCCTTTCACAGGTAGAGAAGCAGAGACCCACAGAAGTCAGATGACTTGCCCAAGGTTACAGAACTAAGACCCCAGAACGTAGAACTCCGGTGATGGATTTCCCCGGCCTGATCTGCTGAGCTGCCTTTGTCCAGGGTGCTCGTCCTGCCCACCACCACAGCCCTCCCTGACCAGGCCCTGAACCCCTTCTGACCTTGGTCTGCTTCTTCTCCGTAGCATAGACAATGGAGGTGCAGCACACCTCGGCGATTTTGCGGCCCTGCCCGTAGAAAGACCAGCAGCAGATCTCATCCCCCAGAACATCCTTGAGGAAAAGCAGCCGCCCATGGAAGCGCAGGGCCAGTTTGTCAAACAGCTCGATGTTCTTAAGTAGGTTGTCATCTGAAGTGCTGAGGACCAGGGGGCCAAGAGGCTCAGCACAAATGGCTTCCTCCCTCTGTTCCCCCAAGCTTAGGGGCCCAGATATCTAGCACTCTAGTCCTACCTAGGAGTTTGGTGCCCAGAATGGAGCTTCCTCCACCCCTGGGGCCAGGCTAAGGAGGCCTCAGAATGGAAGCAGCATTTGCTCAGCAAATCCCAGCACAGCAGAGTGGCTACCCCATGCATGTTCTGGAGCCAAGCTACCTCACCTGGCATCCTAGCTCTACCACTTTTTAACTGAGTGACACTAAGCAAGTTACTTCACCTCTCGGTGCCTCAGTTGCCTCATCTGTAAAATGGAGATCACAACAATACCTACTTCAAACAATTGTGAGGATTATGTGAGTAAATATATGTAAAGCACTTAGAGCCATGCCTCTTATAAGAAATGCTAGTAATTATCATCTGATCCTCACCTGGACCCCAGTTTACTGATGATAAAACTGAAGCTCAGAAGTGAAAATGACCTGTCCAAAGTACCCAGTGGGTAAGTGGCAGAGCTAGAATTTGCATCCAGGCAGGATTCTTTTCGCCCCCCACCCCCCCGCCCCCATGCGGCCATAATCCCCCCCTTGGGCCAGGAGCAGAGCTGTGCTTGAGCCCAGGATTCCACCCAGTGCACCTCCCCGCCCCTGAGGGGGTCACCTGGTGTAGGAGTACTTGTTGTTACTGCGGTTGTGCAGGAGCTTCACCACGGGCTGTTGCGGGAGAAAGGATGGAGAAGGGTGGGGGTCAGGCTGCCGGGATAGGCCCCCAGCCTCCACCCTACAGGGCTCAGGGGCCTCACCTTGGAGGTGCTGGCCAGGAGCTGCTGCTCCTCCCGGGGAGATGTCACCGTGGGGATGAGGCACAGCGGGGACAGGTTCTCCCTTTTTTGCTGGAGAAGAAGCGGAAGGTGATTAACAGAGGTCACTCACTCCCCAACCTAAAAGCCTTCAAAAACTGCTTGTTGCCTTTGGGAAAAAAAATCCAGACTCCTTAGTAGCCCACACAAGACTCTGCAGGATACGAACTCTGATCTCGTCTCTACCACTCTCCCCTGCCTGCTGGACTTCAGCCCCACCTGTTCCTTCACGCATCCAGCTTGTGCCCACCAGGCCCTTTGCAGCTGCCACTGCCGGCAACAGCCTGCACTCGGTTGCATGGCTGGCCCCTTCATGCCATTCAGATCTCAACTCAAACAGTGCCCCTAGGAGCGTGCTGGTCCTCCACCCTAAGCTCCCTGGCTAAGCAGCCTCCTCTACTTCTTCTTTTTCACACTATCAGTTCACCTTCTTCGTGGCACTCAGTTCCTCATATTTTCTCATTTTTTGGTATATTTGCTCATGGTCTCTTCCTAGACAATAAGTATCAATTTACAGTAGATGCTCAATAAATATCTGGTGAACGAATGAACTGGGCTAGGTGGAAGGCTGGAGGGAGAATCAGAACCAGACACATAGGTTTCTTTCCTCTTCTCTGCTTTCTAGAATCTTCATGCCAAAACCCCCTCACCTCTCCCAACCTAAAAACTAGATGTGCAATTCTAATACAAATTCCAGAAGATTTTTTTTTTTTGAGAAACTCCTAAGACTTTTTCTAAAATTAATTTGGAAGAATAAGTCTACCGTTACTTAGGTCAATTTTTAAAAAGAGTCAAGCAAGAGAAGAGATTGACCCGCCCAGATATTAAAATATCTTACAAAGCCATAATAATGAAAACAATGTAGTTCTGGTGCAGAAACAAACAAAAACAATGAAACACAATACAGAACTTGGAAACAGACTGGTGTATATAGGAGAACTGATATTTATAGAGAGAACATCACAAATCAGTGGGGCAGGTGTGTATTAGTTACCGCTGTATAACAAACTGTCCCCAAACTGAACGGCTTAAACCAACAGCAAATAACTTATTACCCATTTCTGTGGGTCAGAACAGATATTCAGGAATTCAGGAGTGGCTTATACGAATGTTTTTGGCATGGGGTCTCTCACAAGGTTACAGTCAAGTCAGGTGGGGCTGCAGTAATCTGAAGGCATGTCTGGGTTTGGAAGATTTGTTTCTGAGAAAGCTTATTCAAATGGCTGGCAAGTTCAGGCTGGCTATTGGCAGGAAATATCTGATCCCTGTCATTTAGACCTCTCCGTTGGGTTGCTTGAGTGTCCTCACAATATGGCAGCTGGCTTCTCCAGAGCAAATAATCCAAGAGAGAGCAAGGTGGAGGCCTCACTGTCTTTTATGACCTAGTTTTGTTAGCCCTATTCAGTGTGGGAGGGAACAACACAAGGCAATGAGTACTAGGGAACAAGAATCATTGGGGACTGCCTTGGAGGCTGGCTCCACAGTCCACTTTCTGGCTCCCATTGATTCAAATCCCTCCCATACACAAAACACACTCACCCCCTCCCAAGATCCCCCAAAGTCCCATCCTATTACAGCACTGAAGTACAGAATCTGGTCATCTAAATCAGGTCCAGGTGGGGACAATGCTCCTTGGGAGGTGTTCCTTAACTATAGCTCCGTAGGTACGTTTTCTCTGGATCTGATGACCTGTGAACTAAAGAGACTAGTTATCTCTTCCACACACTCCACATGCAACATGTGCAACAGGCATTAGGATAAACACTCTTGTTCAAAAGGTGAGGAGGGGGTGCAGGAGGCACAGAGAAGTCGCTGCTTCACAGAAATTCTGTAATCCAGTTGGACAAATATTGGGAGCTCTCTGATGTCTACTCCTGTCCAGGAATGATTCTCTATGGCTCTTGGCTCTGACCTGAGTCATCCTTCCATTTCCATGAAAGACAGTCCGTGTTTGCAGCTCCATAGTTTCCTTAGCCTGCTTTCTGCCTGTAGAACTTTGAGGGTCCAAAGGCTTCTTCTCCTCTTGTCCCTTCCAGTCTAAGCTGGCAGTGTTTCTGCCAATATAGTTCTCTTAAAAACTTAATGGGTGTCTTGTGAGTCCTGGGGTTCAGTTCATTAGACAAAAGCCTCACCCACACATCTTTGTGAGATAAGCTCTTCTCTACTTTGGGCTTATGCTGAGACTGCTGCCTGACAATAGCCTTAAGCTTCTTAGAAGTGCTATTATTTGATTGAATGGTTCTCTGAGGCATCTTCTTGGATATTTCTGAGGTCTTAAGGGATTTTACAATCACATCCTCAGCTTCATCTTTAGACCATGTTTTACTGAGAATGCCCTGTGTTTGATCTTTGCCTGGAAGCTATTTGCTAATTTTAACATCAGTTGTTATCTGCAAGACTGGGAATTTTCAAGCCCCCAAAATTCCTGGCTCCTTTTTGTTCAATTCTTTTTCCTTTAGCTTACCCTCTCCTCTTCTGTTTCACTATAAGCAACAAGAAACCTGTGGCACTTCAACATTCTATCTGGAAATTTCTTTAGCTAGATCACCCAGGTCATTAGTATGTTTTCTACTTTCTACATTACTGTAGGAGACAGTGTTGCTACTTCTGCCACTATATAACAAGGATCCCCTTTCTACCACTTTCCAGTAAACATGTTCCACACTGCAGCCTCCTCAAAGGTCATCAGACTTCTATGAATACTCTTTAAAGCTCTTTAGGCTTTTATTAACACTGTTCTCAAGTCCTTCCAGCTTCTGCCCTCTTCCCAGTTCTAAAGCCGCTCCCACATTTTAGGTTTTTGTTACGGCAGAACCCCACTCCAGATACCAAAATCTGTTATCCGTTACCGGGTAACAAATTAGTACAAACTTAGCAGCTTAAAACAACAATAAACATTTATTATCTCACACAGTTTCTGTGGGTTGGGAGCTTGAGACTGGCTTAATTAGGTGGTCCTGGCCGAGGGTGTCTCATGAAGTTGGAGTCCAAATGTTGACCAGGCTGTAGTTATCTGAAGACTCGATTGGGCCTAAAGGATCCAATTCTGGGATAGTTCACCAATTTGGCTGGAAGTCTGTGCTGGCTGTTGGCAGGAGGCTTCAGTTCCTTACCAAGTGGACCTTTCCCTTAGGGCTGCATGAATATGCTCACATGGCAGCTGGCTTCCCCAGAGTGAGTGATCCAAGAGAGGCAGAAACTGCTATGGGTCTTTTATGACCTAGCTTTAGAAGTCACACACTATCATCTCTGCAATCTGGTTACATAGGTCAGCCCTATTCAGTGTGGGAGGGGACTAAGCAAGAGCCTGAATAAGCAAGAGGCAAGAATTGCTGGTGGCCATCTTGGATGCTGGCTACCACAGATTGTGTAGTAGATGGCATTGAGAAAACTAGCTCAGTCCACAGCGGACAAAAAACAGTTGAATCCCTTCATAATTCGCATTTACAACAGTGAATTCCATATACAAAAGGTAAAACTATAAAGCTAATAAAAAATGTAGAATGAACTTCTTAAACAAGATCCTAAGAGGATACACCATTAGAAAAATAAAAAGAGGAATGTGACTATATTAAAATCAAGAATCTCTGAAGTTGACAATGAAAAACATGACTTTATAAGTAATTTCACGTACTAATGTTGAAGGAATTATAATTATTCTACAACCCTAATGAAATTATTGATTCAGGTGAGAATTATAAATGGATGTGTGGTTGACAGGTAACTGCCATTCATAAAATGCCTAAATTACTTTATAGTTAGCAACAAGGAAATGTAACTACGACGGAGGGATCAAACCATCATCATCTGAATCTAGGGGCCAATACTGAGCATCACTAATGATGGGTCATATTAACAATATTGTAGGTCTCGATATAACACAGTATGATATATGTAACATTACTTAACGTGCTTTCCAACCAAAATGTTTAATATCCAGCTTTTAAATCTACCATCTAATTTAAAGAAAACTCAGGATAGGGTAGGGTAACAAACCACATCAGGCGAATTTGGAGAGTAGGTCACTGTGAAGGACAACTGATGGTCAGTATTATGAGAAAGTCAGTATTTTGAGAAAAAAGGGACTGCTTGGGTTGGAAAAAGAACATAATAACCAGATGTAATGCAAGGATCTAGATCGGGTCCTGGTTTAGATGAACCATCTATAAAAGACATTTCTGGAACAAATGGAGAAATGTGTATATGCCCCTCATGTTACATAAAATTTCACTGACATGGAAAGATGGCAATTATTAACAAACAAAAAAAAAGCGTACTACAAAACAGCACATACAGCATAATCATATTTTGGCAAAAACACACACACAGGAAAAGACCTGGAAGGATATTTGGTGCTTTTATTATTTTGATGATCTGTGTTTTCTAAATTTCTACAATACTTATAGACTGCTTTAAAAATAATAAACATTTATTTATAATTAAAAAGAATAATTTCTATTCAACAACAGATGCCACAGACAGGTGACATTCTAAGAGAAATTATTGGTAACATCTAAAACTGACTAGAAATTATTATCTAAAACAGACTTTCTCAACTGGGCTTCCTCACTGAATATCAAAACCCAGCAAATAATTTGAGTAACTATTTTCCCAACTCTTCTGAGAATGTCAGGTAAATTGTACCATTCTAGATGCACAGGAGAAGTTAATTTATTATGTAAAATACATGCCTTAGAGTAATAGGGCTTAATTCTCCCTAGGAACTAAGCTAAAATATGTAAGAATCTCCTGCAAAACAACAAGAAAAAGATAGGAAACTCAGTAGAAAATTTGGTAAAGAATATGAATTGGCAATTCACTGAAGGGGAAACCAAAAAAGCTAGTATGTGAAAAGATGCTCAATCTAATTAGTAATCAGAAGCATGCAAATTAAAATGAAATCACTCTATACCAATCAGATTGGCAAAATTAGAATGCTGGGTGATGCCGTGAGTTGCCGAGGATACGCAGAAACAGGATTCCTTATGCACTGCTCATCAAGAGTACAAGGTGCTACAGCCATTTGGGAGAGTAATCTGATGATACTTGCTGAAATTCGTTTGCATGTGTCCTGCAGTCCAGCAATTCCATTCCCAGCTACAATCATGAGAAACACTGACCCAGGACCCACAAGGGCACACGTACAAAGCTGCTCATGGTGGCATCGTTTGTGGGGGCAGGAAGCGGGAGGCAATCTAGGTTTCCAACCTCAGGGGAATGTATAAATAAAATATGGTTGAATGCACACCATAGATTCCTGTGCAGCCGTCAGAAGCAAAGAACTAAATGTACATACAGCAGCATGAATAGAACTTGGAAAAAGTGTTGAATTAAGAAACAGAACACACAATCCATAGCTCAATGACATTTATGGAAATTTAAAATACATATGTATACAAAACAATGTTTTAGTTTTTTAATGGTACAAACATAATCCAAGGAAATGTATTAAAACATTAGAACTGGAGGGGTACCTATGGGGAAAAGGGAAGTGGGCAGGGGACTGGGAATGAAGGAAAAAATAAAAAGAGAAAAGATCTGCATAGACTAATGATGTTTAAGTGTCACACACTGAGAAGTATGCTGAACTCAATTCTCTGTACCAGAATCTTAAAAACAACGGGATTTCCCTGGTGGTCGACTGGTTAAGACTCCCAGCTTCCACTGCAGGGGGCACGGGTTCGATCCCTGGTCGGGGAACTAAGATCCCGCATGGTACGCGGGGCGACCAAAAAGGAAGAAAGAAACAACCAAACAAAAAACTCCAAACCCCAAACCTCCAAACAAGCATATTCTAGCTGAGTGGAGTGGGGAATGAGAATGGTCTCGGGGAAGCTTGCAAAGGAGGCAGCTGAGCACAGAAGAAAAAGCACTGCACTTGGGAGTCAGGCACCTGGGGTTGACTCTGAGCTTTGCTGCTTACCGGCTCTTTCACCTTGAATATATCCCCAGCTTCCCTCATATTTCTTTTTATGTCAAACAGGGGTACAAGAAGGTAACAGAACCAATCCTAACACACAGTGGATGTGAGATAACATTAGATAAATGTAAAGTTACAGAACAGGAATGCACTTCTAGTTTGATGTTTTTTAAACTGCAAGTGGTAACCCACTAATGGGTCATGAAATAAATTTAATGGGCTCCAAACGGCATCAGAGAGAAAGAAAACAGAATATGTCAGAGTGTATTTCACTAAAAGTATTATTTTATAAAACTTATTTCAGTCATATATATGCAAGTATAAAATGCATTTTATGCATCTCTATGAGATGCAGTCAAAAAGCTTGAAAAACATAGATATTGCCCAAAGGAATTCTATACTTCTGGATTTCAAGGTCCAATAAGTATGCCCCAAGATAACAGAAAGTTGTTCATAGTTGCCACTTTTTAATATATTGAATATAAAGGGCATCAAAAAAGAATTCTTACAATCTCCTATTAATATTGTATCATAAAAGGACACTTTTCACATTGTAAAAATAGAACAGAATAAAAGGCTTTATGTGAAACTCACTACACTGCACATATTTTTCTCATTTCCCTATCTTTTGGAACATGAGAACAGAATGCCAGAGGTAGGAATTGACTCAGTCAAGGTCACTCAGTCAGCAGTGGTGGAGTGACACTTAACCCAATCTCCTGGCTGTGCTTTCCAAACTCTTCTTAGAATCCTAAGAGATCCCCAGAAAAGAAGCCCAGCAGGTGGGGCCCTGGAACCCCCAACCCTGTTTTATTGGGTGTGACTGCTTCTATAGTATTTCACTGCTAGAAAAAAAAGTATTATTTAAAGCCCTGGGAGGGATGGAATGCTGCCTCCCAGGATAGGACCAGATCATGGAGGTCATTATATTCCAATTTAAATTCAGTTTTTTTTTTTCCCCTTAGTGGGACAAGGGCATTATTTGGGATTTCTGAGCAAGGGAGAGAATAAATTGGGATTGTGTTTAAGGATCATTATTCAGGTGCTAGTGTAACAGCTGGATTGGCTGGATAGAAACAGCAAGAAACAGAGACAGTAGTCATTTAACCACTGCAGTAGTCTTGGCATGAGGTGGTGAGGGGGGCCCTGCCTGAGACAGCAGAAATGCAGAGGACAATACCCCCAAATTCTCTGGTGTCATGGCCAGTCAGAGCCAGGCCAGAGGCAACTCCTCCAGGCAGTGCCCCATACTTCCCTTTGTTTTTCTTTAATATCTTAATAGCTAACTGCTTGGGCAGCTCTCCCAGGGACATGAGCATAGGGGTGGGACTCAGGAGGTGGGGAAGGGACCCTCACCTGCAGTGCCAGCTGGCAGTCCTCAATCAGTCCCTGTACCAGGTAGTAGCGTGCTTCGCCCAGAAGCTCCCCCAGTTCTCTGGTACTCTCAGGCAGTGGCACGGACCCGTCCCGCAGGTAGTTGAGGATTGTACCAAAGTGGCGGCCGCTCCGGTCAATCAGCACCCAACCTGGTGTGGTGGGGAGAGGCAGGAGGAAGGATGGCTTTGCTAAAGGCTGTGGAGCTACTAAATTTTTATGAAAGAAGGATTCGAAAGCCACAAGTCTTAATACTGATCTGTCTCAAGCCTGTGCCATAGCTAAGAAAATCCCTTTAAAACATCTCCAGTGAGTTCTCCCATAAGCCCCTTTTTAACACAGCCAGCCACAGAGAATTAATTCCCTCCCAAGTCTGTGCTACACTGAGAAGGTTCTCACCATCAGAGAGTTCGTACAGATTGCCTTATCAATAAACCTCTAACCTCTTGTGCTAATTCTGACCATCCTATTTAATTAGAATGTCCACCCCACCGTCCAGTTTACTACCATTTTAACCTTTATATTCTTCATAGAATATAAAGATACATATTCTTCATTCTGTTCTTCATAATATACTTATTGCTATCTGAAATTACATATTTCGCTTTTGTTTTAGTATGTTTACTTGCTTATTCTCCCCCTGCCCCCACAAAAAAAGAAAACTCCATAAGGCTTAGCTTATCAGATTTGTGTACCAAACTATCTCCCGCACTGGCATTTTACAAATACTTATTGAATAAATAAATTCTTCACCTTCAGGTATTTGCAGGCTGAGCTCTACCTCCCCAAATTTTACTTTCCTGCTCTCACAACCCTCGTTAACCCCTCCTGAATCCACTCCACCTCCACCACCCTCAACCCTGCCACCAAACTTTAAGGTTCCACTTGGGCATATGGGGCCCAGACCTGAATGCAACACTTCGGGAAGGTAAGGGGCTCGCCTGCCAAAGAGAACTGTCCACTCTCCGCCCTGGCGTCCCTGGCAAACCCAAAGCTGCCCTCTCCTTCTACAGTCTGTATTTACAGATGGAGTCCTAGAGTGTAGAGGAACCTCCGTTAGGGGAATGGAGACCGACAAGATCCTCCAACTCTCGGGGATGGCTGTTGGCAGCGCTGAGGTAGAGAGGGGAACAAAAGGCTGGGCAGGTGGAAGAAACTGATGAAGGGTGCCTGGAAGGATGTTGTTGGCAGCTGGGCTGGTTCCCAAGTCTTTTGAGCTGAGGCGTGAAGGGTGGGAGAGTCAGTGGGAAGCAGTCATGAAAATTGGGAGCTGACACGTTGAATCACTTACCACAGCGCCCGGCAGAGTAGTTGGAGGGGCGGGGTGGATGGTGCGGCGGGGCGGGGGATGTCCATGAATGTTGGTTACTACTGCTGGGGGTAAAGACCGGGGGAGGGAGGGCGCTCATGACCGAGCCAGGCGAGATGAGACGGGATGTGGGGGCTGGAGGGGGTGAGAATGAACTGACTGGACGGTGGCAGAGAACGGGCATGAGGAGACTGGGCCAGGAAAGACCACGGGAAAGGGAGACGTGGATCTGGAGGACGCAGGACAGTAAGCAAGGGCAGCTCGCGTACCTCCGGCGTCAGTGAGCACCTCCGCGCGGCCGCTGAACATGGCCTTGAGCATGGTGTCCTGTCCCGTGAGGGTGCGCAGCGTCGTGTAGTGCAACGAGCCGCCCACGTTCAGCTTCACGTACTTGCTGTTCGTGGTCAATGGCTTGAGACCGTAGGCAGCGGAGCCAGGTTCGAGACCTGAGGGCTTAGGGACTTCCAGGGACGGGGCCTCGGCCGCCTCCGCGCCCGAGGCCTCGGCCGACATGCCTGGTGGTGGCGGCGGGCAGCGATCCTAGGTTCTCTCTGCGCCCCCCGGCCGCTCCCAAAGACCCCGGTCCTGAGCCCTCGGGCCGGACCTCTGGGCCCGCACGCCTCTACACCGCCGCTACTCAAAGACACTGGCCCTCAGACCCATAGCGCCTGCACCGCCCGGAAGCCGGGCGAGCAGCTGCGCAGGCGCGTCAAGCTCCCGCCCCCGACCTCGCGGGGCCGGAAGTGCGGAGCATGCGTAGTGGCCTTGGGTCGGTGGAGGGGTTGAGCGCCGGCTGCCGCGGGGCAGGGCGACGCGGGAAGTGCGGTCCAGTCGCCAGTACTGGAGACCCGGTGTAGGAGGCGCTTGGCCACCAGCCTGTTGTGGAAACCGGTGTCCCCGCCGCGTGTCTCTGCTCTCAGAGCGCTTCGTGGGCGTAAAGGGAAAAGTGGCCCAGAGAAGCAGGGGATTGGGCACAGTTTCCCGCCTGCCATCCCCGCGCATTTGACAGACTGAGGGGAGCTGCGAACGAAGCACCAAGGAGGCTAGAGGGATGTGGCCTCGCAGAGGAGATGGCGGTAGTGCTAGGGCATGCAGGGTGTGAGCAGGTAAGGTCGTCATGGAAGGCTTCCCTGAGGAGGTGATACTGAGCTGAAGCTCAGAAGAAGCGGCCCCGTGGAGGTGTGAGGGCGGAGAGTTACTGGCAGAGCTAAGGGCAAATACAAAGACCCTCAGGCCGGAACACACTTGGCATATTTGAGAAGCAGAAAGAAGGTCAGGAGTGGCTGGAGCAGCTGAGCAAAGGCCTTAGAATCCCAGCCGATGTCGTGAGACACCCAACCCCTAAAGAAAGGAGAAGTAAGCTGGGAACACGTTGTTGATAAAGTGTGGTGAGAAGTGTTTTTATCCAATCCCATCCACATTCAGTTGAGAGGCTGATAGGATCCTCTGGAGGGAAAACTAAACACAAAGTTGTAGTTTCCGCCTTGCCATCAGTTCACTGTGTGATCAGGCAAGTCACTTCTCTCTGGGCTTGCTTGGTTCCTTTTCTGCTAGTGAGGGGTGCAAATTTAAATGCCAGGAGACAAGGTAGGAGTGTAAATGAGTGGGGCAGACCAGTTACAAGGTACTGGGGAGTCATGAGTCCTGTGGTGATCTGAAGAGCCCATGTTTTACCAAAAGGATTGCCAATTCTGATTTTTCAAATGTAGCTGGTGAAAAAGAGAAAAGCAGCTCATGACAACTGGGAGCTAGTTTGCACTCTTCCTTCAGAAGCCTCAGTGTTGCTAGTAGGGGGCCTGGCACTATTAGCTAGGCTGTGGTGTTGCCTTGTTGAGCATAAACAATTTTACAGAACACCAACATCAGACAAAAACCAGTCGCTGATGGATGGAGAGAAAGACCATTCCATAATCATGCCTGAACACGAAAACGAGAACATTGTCCAGACCACAAAAATGACCAAACACAACCCTCTCCACAGTTTGAGTGACTGCTGCTTCTTTACCAACTACAGCTTTAGCACTGATCCATTCCTCCTAACTTCTAGATAAGAATTATTAAGAAAACCAGAAAGGGGTTTCCCTGGTGGCGTCCCACGTGCCGTGGAGCGGCTGGGCCCCTGAGCCATGGCGGCTGAGCCTGCGCGTCCGGAGCCTGTGCTCCGCAACGGGAGAGGCCACAGCAGTGAGAGGCCCGCGTACCGCAAAAAAAAAAAAAAAAAAGAAAGAAAGAAAACCAGAAAGAATTATCCCCACTTCCTGACAGCATCCAACCTAGAGCAAATCTCCCCTTTCTCAAACCCTCCCAGAAAATCATCTAACACAAGCCCCAATCCTGTAATAAGTCCTTTTTAATATGCACTTGCTGAGATGCCCAGAATGGGTTCCCCATGGTGTGCAGTCTCCCTCATTCTACTACAGGTGTGTTCCTAGTAGTCTTTGGCTGGAGGGCATTATCAGAAATGGAGGATCCACAGAGATTCAGCTGAAGTCCTCACTACCTTGGACTGGAACCCTTGACTCTAGTAATAATGTGCACATCTGAGACCCCTCGTGTCTCTAACTATTTGAGGTGCCATCCTGCCCATGGCTGAGAGGTAAGTTGTTGCTGAATTGAGCTCTGATGTTCCGTTGAGACCCTTGAGTGTTGGGATTATTTTGTTTATTTTCCTTGGAGTAAGGTCCTCTTCCATTTTTTTGGTTATCCAATTAGATTTTTATTTTTCCTTGGGGAATTTGTTTTCTGGCTTTCTACATCTATCTGCTCCCATGATTCCCCCCGTCTAGTGTTTTGAATGTTGTTTGTCTGTAAGAGGAAAAGTCTATAGGGAAAGGATAGGTATGTAGCCCTGGATGTCTGAGGGCAACATGAACCTGTTATTTATTGCTCAGTCTCTGGTGGCTGAACACCACTTATCCCTCTAAGAAGTTGGGGATGCCAGCCACTCAGGGGTCATGTAACTAGTTAGCATGCTGCAGTGTCATTTGTTATCAGAATTAACCAGACAAATAACTCCATCAACCAAGGCCCAATAAGTCTGTCCTACAGCCAGCCCTGGAGACTATGGAATTCAGAAGGTATCCTTAAACCAGTGTCCTTTGAATAAACTTTGCCTCAGGTTGCCATTCCAAACCTTTATAAGGACTTCTTCCTCAGTTTTGTCTGTGTCCCTGAGAACTCCTTTTTTTCATTTCTTCTGCCCGGAATCAGGTCATTTTCTCTGGCTTCTGATCAGTGATGACTGGTCTTTGGCCAAGTTCTAGAGATACAAGGTTGCACAGCACTGGCCTTATGAACTCTTGTCTCAACTAAAACTGGGCCAAATACCTGATTCCTTCATGTTTTCTCACAATTACACTAACTCGTACCCTTATCTTTCTAACTGACCCAATTTCACTAGGGACAATTTAGAATTGCAGTGGCCATTTTGAGGAACTTGGGACAAGAACAAGATTCTTTATTTGATAGTTACCTTAGAACAAAAAGATAAGAAACCCTCATGAGGAGATTGTCTTGGTTGTCAAAAAGAGAGATTATTTTGTTTAACATAGGTGATATTTCATTTCCGTACTTTGGAGGTTAATAAATACTGATTTTTTTTTTTTTTTTTTTGTGGTACGCGGGCCTCTCACTGCTGTGGCCTCTCCCGTTGTGGAGCACAGGCTCCGGACGCGCAGGCTCAGTGGCCATGGCTCACGGGCCCAGCCGCTCCGCGGCATGTGGGATCTTCCCGGACCGGGTCACGAACCCGTGTCCCCTGCATTGGCAGGCGGACTCTCAACCACTGTGCCAGCAGGGAAGCCCATAAATACTGATTTTTAAATTATATAGCTCTTTGAAATTGTCAAGTGCCTAAGATATTTTTAAAATTAGGTGGAATGTCACTCTTTGTGTGTGTGTATGTATATGTCAAAATCTGGAGGGTTTTTGCATTTGAACTGTTTTATCTTTTCTTGCAGAGGGAACATGGATTAGCTTTTTAGAGTGATAGTTTCATATTTTTCTGAAGTAGCTCCCTCTCACTTTTTTTGCTGTCCATTTTCCTCTCTTGGAAAAGTTTAAATATTAACTTATCAAAAAAAATATTTCATTGAATGTGCACAATCCAGTTAAATACAGTTGGCCCTCGAACAATATGGGTTTGAACTCCACAGGTCCACTTATACGTGAATTTTTTTTTCAGTAAATATATTGGAAAAAATTGTGGGGGGGATTTGTAACAATTTGAGAAAACGTGTAGCCTAAAAATATCAAAAAAATTAAGAGAAAGGTATATCATGAATGCGTAAATAATAAACAGATACTGGTGTATTTTATCATTTACTATCATAAAATATACCAAGTCTATTATAAAAAGGGAATTTTTGGGACTTCCCTGGTGGCGCAGTGGTTAAGAATCCGCCTGCCAGAAAAAAAAAAAAAAAAAAAAGAATCCGCCTGCCAATGCAGGGGACACGGGTTCGATCCTTGGTCTGGGAAGATCCCACATGCCGCAGAGCAACTAAGCACCTGTGCCACAACTACTGAGCCTGCGCTCTAGAGCCCGCGAGCCATGACAACTGAGCTCGTGAGCCACAACTACTGAATTCCACGTGCCCTAGAACCTGCACGCTGCAACTACTGAAGCCCGCATGCCGCAACTACTGAGACTGCGTGCTGCAACTACTGAAGCCCGCACACAACAAGAGAAGCGCCTGTGCTCCGCAATAAGAGAAGCCACTGCAATGAGAAGCCCGCACACCACAACAAAGAGTAGCTCCCGCTCGCCACAACTAGAGAAAGCCTGTGCGCAGCAACGAAGACCCAACGTAGCCAAAAATATATATATATAAAGAAAAAGTAAAAATTTATCGAAATTCCCACACACAAACATTTACAGACTATACATGGCACTATCGATTACACTAGGTTACCAGAAGGCAGTCATATTGCTGCTTCATTATCAATGCATGAATCGTTTTATCTGTAAATAAATATAAATTTCTTTTTCACACTATCTTTTGTTTTGTTTTTTTTTTTGGCTGCGTCGTGCGGCATGCAGGATCTTAGTTTCCTGACCAGGGATCGAACCCATGCCCCTGGCGGTGGAAGCATGGAGCCCTAACCACTGGACCACCAGGGAATTCCCTGTCTTTTCATTTTTGATGTCTAGTGTTACTAATACATTTACTATCTACAATGTTTTGTGTAACATAAGACAGTATTGACGTAGGTACTGACAGATGATTCATCTTGTAAACAGACCATGTAAACATATGGTATCAGTATCGATAAATACAATCAGTACTTTAAGTTTATTTTCTCTTCCTTATGACTTTCTTAATAACATTTTCTCTAGCTTACTTTATTGTAAGAATACATTACATAATACATATAAAAATGTGTTAAATGTTTATATTATCAGTAAGGCTATTAGTAGCTAAGTTTGAGGAGGGGGTCAATTGTGCCTTGGGGGGTGGGGGACTGGGGGGTGTTGTTTCTTAAGTTCCTTAACCCCCACGTTGTTGAAGGGTCAACTGTAATCAAAAATTTCTGAAAGAATTGCTAAACTATATATGTTTCCTTTGTGGGCTCTGAAAAGTATATTTATGTAATAGACTTTGTAATTATAGATAAGATAAGGCCTTAGTTCCAAGATAAAAGAAGAGTTTTTGGCATGATCCAGTGTATTTGCATTTTAATTTGCCATGTAAA